TCAGAGAGAAATGGAGATTGAACCAGCTTGTAAAGAGCAATAGAACAAATGTGGTATAAATTGCAGACCAATTCAATGTTGTTGACAGAGAGGTGTTCTAATTGCACAGAGTTTACAATATTTATGCATGAGGCCATCTGCCCTTTAAGATACTTGTGCTAACAACAGTCCATTGTCAACAGTACCTGCAGTGAGTACCGTACATGGTCATTGATCTTTGACGTTGAATCAGCGGAAGAAGGTTGCCTAGTTTGACAAGTCCTGATTTTTGTTGTATAAGGTAGATGGCAGGGTTTGTGTATGTCATTTACCAGAAGATTAACTGGCACCTGGATGCATCATTGGATGAAAAGTTGATAGATGGTGTAATGTCTTGGGGAGCTTACTGTTGGGAAGCCTTAGGTACCATCATTCCTATGGACTACATTTTGAGATATTCTTTCATGAGTATGACATTACCTGATGGAAATGTGTTGTTCAAAGCTGGAACTTAAATTTAACAATCTCGGTCTTCAGTCTCACATCTTGTCTCCCAGCAATACTTTAGGCTAAAAAATGTTTGTTTCTAATAGTTTACAAGCCTGTTTCAGATTCGAATGGTTTACTGAGTGTTTCAAAATTGGAATGTCCCAACCTTTAAGCTGACTTAATTAAAAAAGTGCCTTTTTAAAAAAAAAATTAAAAAAAAAAAAAATATATATATATATAAAATTAAACAAAACAAATAAGAATCTTCTAACTTGAAGCTCCAAGGGGCAGGAAAAACTGAGTTATAGGTTATAGATGGTTTGAGTTAGAGAACAGTAGAATGAAAAATGCTGACTGAATAGATTTGTATTTTTATGTCTCTTGCATTACACAAAAAACCTTGATAGTTTTTTGTTTTAAACAGCCCATGTAATGCATTTCAACAAAATGTTCAATGTAACTAATGGAATCTAACAGTTTTGCAGATACATCTTGTTGAGATAGTGAGATGACCTTTCATTTTGGACTGGAATGTTGTTTACAAATTGTTGGATAGCTGTCACATCTACTATCCAACATCAATTTTATGGAAATCCAATAATTAGGATTACTTTGGATAGAATAAATACTAAAATTCAAGTCAGAAGTTGAAAGTAGTAATTGCAGACATTTAAATCCCTATGCTATTCCATTGAAACCTACCAATTGCTTCATTTTCTTCAAGTTAAAGAAATATTTGAGTTAGAGAAGTTTTACTGTAAATAAATTTAACTTTATATATAATCTGTTATATAAACAATATTTAAAATAAATTAAAAATAAGTTAAAAAATTGAAACAAACAATAAGTAGAACATGTTTCTATTTTAGTTGTATTTATTATTTTAATGTTGTTGTTATATATTTGCATATCTAATTTTTTTTTGTTTTCTGTTTAATTTGATGCATTGGATTATTTAATTAAAAAAAATAGCTTTTTTTAAGTGTTTAAAGGTTAGAGCATTTCAATTTTGGAATACTCAGTAAACTACTCAATTCAAATGTGAACCTGAAGCAGGCTTGTAAATAGGCCAAAAACATTTGTTTTTAATAGTATTGCTGGAAGACATGAGGAGGTGTGATGATATTATTCTGATGGTGTTATTTTTATGGAAGGGGTGTGTACCTTGCTACAAAGTACACATTATTCAAAAGTGATTTGAAGAACACAGATAAGTCAAAACTGGAAACAAAATATAAAAACACAGCCATTCAATTATCTTATGCAGATTGGTTTATTCATAATAACCCAAAAATGTTTGTTGTAAATAAACTCAAGCTGGAAAAGCATGAAGGTATGCTTTTAGTGTCAATTGTTTCAGCATTAGTACTTTAAATCCAAGCCATTCAGTTCCAGCAGAATTCAATTTAATAAAACTAGCATTTTTTTTTATTAAACTATAAATGTCATTCATTCTCAGGTACAGTTTTAAAATTAATGAATAAAACATTATTAAAATACAGAACTTTCAGAACATCTGAATGGAATTTAAAAATTACATTTAAAAAATTGCCAGGATGAATTCACATATAGAAAAAAATATATATTTTTTTGGACTATACATATAATTGAGTCCTTCTCCTTCTGTCTCTTCACACGTTTTGCAGAGTCGCCTCAAATAAAAGGTCGGTAACGCCATAGATTTGTTATTGCCTCTGTAAAGTGCGTGAAAGGACAGGAGGCGATGGACTCAATTATGTGTGTAGTATGAAAAAAAATATTTTTTTTCTATAACTGAATGGAATTCTTGCACAAAGTTTATTGCAACATAGTGTTCCATTTCTAGTTATAGTATTTAGATTTTTTTTATTCCATGTGTATACACAAAATTCTATATGCAAATTTATTATAGGAATGAATATGGAATAAGACATGCAATAAAATATAATACAAATGAAACAATTAAAATCAGCTAATTCTTTAAGTTGTAAATTTATCTTCAGTCAGGTAATATTTTGGTGAATTAACTGGCAATCACTATCTGACTACTAATGTATAAATTCTACAATTTGGGTTGGAAAAAATTTTTTTTTCTACCCAGCCGACATTGTTCAGTTAAAGTGAAATTCTAAAGTTTCTTCTTGTTTATTCACTTTATTTTAGATACAGCTTAAATTTCAAGCTTGTGTTCTTGCTTTATTAATTCAACTTTTAGATAACATTAGCTTTATCCATTTATGACTGAGATAAAGTGTGCTTTATCTACATAAAGTTCAAAATTAACCTACTATTGCTTGCTTGAACAAGAGTTGGATAAAGTTAGCATTAGTTGGTTAATTCTAGCTTTTTTTTCTCGTGGACTTTAGCTGTAATATAACCAGGGCTATGGAGTTGTGTAAAAATCTACCGACTCCGACTTTTCCTTACCATCCGACTCCGACTAGGAGCAGACTTCTTACCAAAAGAGACCCAGAAATTCTGCCGTCATCACATGAACTCAGAATAAAATACTAATAAAGATAGAGCATAGAAACTTTTTATTCCAAAGCTAAAAGACTTCTCTAAGTAATATATAAATATGTATTCGATAATTTTTACTTTTCCGGCTGTTATATATAACAGAAGAAAAGTGTAGCGCTCGGTCAAAAAATGACCCCTCCTAAATTTTTACATTTTTGGACTCTGGACACCTTGAAATTTTGAGATATGCAAAAGTTTGAGGTTTTTTCTGTATGTGTGGATGTTAGACTGTGTGTGGGGGGCATGATTTCGTTTACCCTGTTTGAAGCCTAATAATTTCCGTGGTCAGAATCAGAGTCGGATGGTTTAACACAGGAGTTAGTTATTAAGCGTCAAAGTGGTTGAACTAAATCATGTCCCCATATACATTCTAACATCTTAACGGATTTTACTGTATTATTATAAAATGGCAAAAAAGCTTACTTTGGGGGTAAAGACGAGTTTTATTTTTTTTTAAATTTTTAACGCTAATAAGAGTAAAATATTTATTAAGAGATATGACACATGACCACTTTTATGTCTTCACCCTGTCGACCTTTAATTAAGAACCAAAATTTAATAGTATTAATGCCCCTTTATACGCAAGCTACAGTGCCACATTTCGTTTCTTAAACTTTACCCGTTCTGAGATAGTTTAATATCTCAGAACAGAAAATAAAGAAATTAAACAAATTAGACACCAACACACGTGTGCACAAATTTTTCCCCTTTATTGACTTTTTTGAGGGGTTCGGGAGGTCTCCAAACGTGTAGATTTGCAAAAAAAAACTTGGAGGGTCAAATTTGACAAGATTCCAATACTTTTCCATTTTATGTACAGTACATAACAAGTTGGTAAGTAAAAAGGAGTCGGAGTTGGCGGATTTTTGACGACTCCGGCTAAAACATCAAAACTCCACGACTCCGACTCCACAGCCCTGAATATAACCTTATTCTCTTGATCTGTTTTTGAGAGAGAGTTTCAAACTCTGGTTTAAATTATCATTATGGCAATTTTTTTTTGCTAATTACTCTTTCTATATAAGATAATGCCAATAAAAGTATTCTTAGATTTATCAAACTAAAACTTAATTTCCTAAGTTTGCAGAGATTAAAAACTTAAGCTCAAACAAATCTAAAGAAATTGTTATGCATAGATATGGTGGCTTTCCACAGATTTTATTAAGTTATCTTAGTTATAGGAATAAATTAATAAGAATAATGCTGTTTGTTGGAATTAGTCTTGACTAAACTTAGTAAGATTAGGTTAGATACATATTCTTACATGAAATGAACTTTTCAATTTGTTTTGACAAAACTTTGAGATTTAAAAAATCATTTTTCTTTAATTATTATTTACAAGAAAACTTATATTCTCAAAGTTAGGTAAGAATAATAATTAGCTTGATTTTACTGTCTAAATTGACTGTTCCAAACATAATCTTAATTTTTTTTCACCTCTAAGCTTCAGTTAAATTGCTTTTTTAATTGTATTTCCTCTCCAAAAACCATCTATAAATTTTCTTTCTAGTTTTTCCATTCTCTTCATTCAATTCCATAATACTTAACTATAACAGTGCTCTTATGGTTGTTGGTGTGATGAAATTAGATCTTTGAATCCAAGTTATAACATTTCAAATAAGATTTGACTTAGAAACTCTTGAGCTAGGTGTAAGCATATCATTCTTTTTTTCTGATCAGATTGTTCAGAGAAGTTTCTCTCTGAATTCTGAATAAGTCATCATATCTCATCTTTTATATTTCTGAATATATTGAACTATCAAAATATTTAATAAATAATTAACTACATTTATTGGTAAATATATCTCAATAAAATGTAGTCTGTTATAATTCACTGACATCAAAATGAATGCATTTTTTTTTGAAAACCTGAATTTTTACTTTTAAAATTATCAAATGTAATAAATAATGACATACATTAATAGTACAAAAATATATGAAATTTACTTTTAACTTAATGTTATTTTAGTTAAGAAACTTACAATGAAAATGGTAAATGTCATTTTGAGAAGCATCCTTAACTTTTTTTAGTATAGAAAGTAAGCATGAAGTAACAATATTGGGTGGATTAAATGAATTTTCAGTGAAGTTTTATGGGCCAAAAGGAAGTAAGTATAATAAAATTTCAAAAACATATTTAGTAATAAATTTCAATAATGCAAATGTTTTACAATTGATGTCTTTTGACAGCACCATATGAAGGAGGTGTATGGAAAGTTAGAGTTGATTTACCTGAAAAATATCCTTTTAAGTCACCTTCAATTGGTATGTAAATGAAAAATTTTGATCATTTTATATTTAAAATTTATGAATTTTAATTTTTATATGCAAATTTGAGTTTTTTATAATCTAAAAAATAAGTAAAATTCTTAAGTAAAAAAACAACTTTCTTACATGGTATACTGGAATGTATATAAATTAACACTCATAAACCTTAAGTCACATACAAGAGGTATATTGATGACATCTTTATTCTATGGAAACCAGAACAGAACATATACCATTTATAGTGCATGAATAACAACCCATATTGTCTCACCATCAAATTGGATCAGAAGAGCAACACAGCCACACACTTCCTGGATATCAACCTTCAACTTGATGGCACCAGGATTGTAACGAAGGTACATTGTAAATCATGTTATAGGCCATTGTTCATCCCAGCCAACTCTGCAGACCCTGTCTTCTATAAGATCGCTACCTTCTGTGCCCTAACAAAAAGGGTCTTCACACACAATACCAGATCTGAAGACAGAGGTGGAGTTGAAATGCATTCAGGAATTAGCTATACAGCATGGATATAGTACAAACATCATATATAACCTTTCCTGTGCTTGCTTCACACAAATAGCCACACCTTAGACTTCTCAAGCACATGTAGAAACACGTGAAACACAACCTAAATAGCACACATTCGCGTGCTGCTGTTGCATACAACCACCACCTCAACCCCATTTACAGAGAAATTGCCTCCTGTACAAACACTAAGATTGCATACAAGAGGCCCAGCATTGTATATGGGCTACTTTGCAGCAGCAAGGATAAGATCAATAAAAAGCTAGCACCGGATATATACATGGTTCCTTTCTGAGACAACAGGTTTCAAAGGGAGTTAGTTTATATCGGGGTGGCCAACCTTTTGCATACCATGCGCCAATTTTTTGATAGACGAGTTCAGATGCGCAGTGGCGTACCGTGGGTGTTAGCCGCCCGGGGCGGAGAAAAATTTCGGCCACCCTTTAATCAGGTATTTCAATTTAAAAGATCAAAATTCAGTTGTGTGAAAAAAAAATTAATAAAAAATGCGGTGGTGGTGTAGTTACCCGTACAAAATAGTCCCATTTGACATTAGTGGCATACACGATTGCGAATGTATCGTGAATCGTAGAAG